GATTGCCCCTTTGAACCAGACACGCAGGGAACATGTTCGGGCTCAGCCCCGTTTTTTGTCATCCCTTGCAAGGTATGTGTGGAATGCATTTGTTTGATTGCCTTTTGGGTTTGCGGAAAGTGAAGGTCTTTCTACGCGAGATGCTCGACGTCAAATAACTTTCGTTTACGGCACTTGCGAGTCGTGTAATTTTGCAGAGGATGTCACGGCAAAGAATGTGCACAAACGTGGCCGTACTGGCCGAGTATCTTTTGCTTGGGAGCCTTCTGAAAAGGGTTGCGATGTTGAACATGGTAAAGTAGCAAGTTGCCCGATACGTTCTGCTTTGGCACAATACGCGTAACATGCATGTGTGTCTGCAACAAGCTCATTGCTGAAGTCTCGGTATTTGTAGCAAACAAGCATCAGACACGACAGCAACACTTGACCTGATTTCCACAGGCGGTTTCATGCGCATGGGTCCGCCTCAGTGGGATTCGATCTGTTCAGCCTTGAAGGAGTTTGGCGAGTCAGAGATCAGCACCTTGGCAGACTGCCTTGTCGAATCTCGTGAACTCTTTTGACGTAGGGAAGGTCTAACGTCTGTGAAGAGGTCTTAGGCTTGGCGTTGGTCGCGGCTTCTTGCAGATACCAATATGGGTGTCTTTTGCAGGAGATATCGATCAAGGAATGCTGCGCAAACGGTCAGGAAATCGTTCATAAATCTGGTGCAGCCAGCAATTCAGCCGAGCTGTGGCTAAGGTGTCAAGCACTTTCTCGACCTTTTGTACGGACCAGAGGCGCGTTTTTGCGATTGTTTCGGCTTCGAGTGGGACCCATAGACCTTCGCCCGTTGCTTTCCTTGCTGAATCTACATTGATCGACTCTTCCTCCTGCAAGCGCAATTTCCAGTCATGGTCGCGGTTCGGACACCCAAAAGAAACAGGTAGGAGGATGGTGTTCAATCCCAGGAGAAGCTCCGAAGCCTTTCGATTGTTTGGCTGCGCTTTTGTGCGCGCTTTTGCTTTGGAAAGATTTCTGGGTTCCAAACGCGAATGCAGCGGAGGAAGGAAAGGGCGGCGGCTTGCAAGAGACTCCCGTGCCGTAGGCGGTTCAGGACGATGCGCCCGAGGCCGTGTCGGCGACTTGGCGGGCTCGCCCATAATTTTCATCAAGGGCGGTTTCTGGGATTTGCCAGCTCACACCACCTTGGCAAACTCGAAGTATGATCGACACCAGCGAGATTTTGAGCAGTTTAAGCACCAAACTGCATTGCAACTGCTTGCTGGGTGGCAGCGCATTTGCAGGCTGCTTTTGAGCCCTCGAGTCATTCCCCTTTTCGGCAGGCAGAGTATGGCTACGAGGAGCCAAAGCACCTGGCCAGCTTCCTGAACGCTGCTGACATTCGGCTGGTTCGGGTGGCCTTCCTCAAGAAGCTGCACCGGCTGGGGCAAGCCATGCCTCGGCGCCAGGAAGCAGAGCGAGCGGCCGCCTCAGTGAAGTCGAGTCAAGTGAAGCTCAAGCTGCGAGCCGCGAGCGTCCTGCTGCGTCCTGCTGCGTCCTGCGTCCTGTGAGCTGAGGCCTATGTGGAGCTGAGAAGTCATGTCACCACGGCCCTGGTCACTCCAGAGGAGTTGACCGCCTGGGCGGAGGCGGAGCAGAATTGCCATCGCATCATCTCGGTGTCCCACGCTTGGGAGAGCCAGGAGCACCCGGATCCCCATAATTATCAGCTGGGGCTCCTGGCTGAGCACTTGAAGGAGACGGACTGGGTCTTCTATGATTACCTCTCGCTGTACCAGTCTTCCTGTGATGAAGATCAGGAGAGAAGCTTCCGGGCCGGCATGAAACACATGCACCTCTTGTACTCGCACGAAGGCACGAGCACCGTGCGCATCGAAGGGCTGACGCCTAAGGAGTGCCAGAAGAAGGACCTGGACACGGTCCAGGTTTACAGTCGAAAACTGGGAAGGGTCGCGCCAGTGCGCATCAAGGATCTTGTCCTCAACGACGTGCCATATGCATCCAGAGGCTGGTGCGTTACGGAGCGTGAGTGGTCGGCCACAAGGAGCACTTCGCGCGCTTCCGCCCGCCTCTCCAGGGCGGGCTTGGCCCCAGAGGAGCACAACCAAGCGCCGACCCCGCCGGTCCTTTTCCGCGACCGCGTGAGCAAGAGTGTGGGCAACAAGCTCCACTTCACTCGTCGGGGAGATGTGGATCCTGTGCTCAAACTTCAAGCAACGGTCTATCGCGACAAAGCGCGGAGCCACAAGAATCTCAGCATGAGCCACCTGGACCGGACACAGTTTGGTATATTCCTGGACGCGCTGAAGGACTATTCCCAGCTGGAGCGCCTGCAGCTTAAACACTGTGAGATCGAAGCTGCCGCTCTCTGCAAGGCCTGACAGTGTTTCCTGAAATGCTTTGGCATGGAAGCAACTTCGTTCTGCCCAATTTCTCTGTTTCAAAACATCCTCTTTGGTATACGCCGCATGGCATGAAGCTGCGTAACTCTGGTGTCTATGCTCGTTTCCTGCGAAAGTGCAAGCGAACTTGTGCCCTGCCCAGCCAAGCTGCCCTGCGACACACAGAAGTTTCCTTGCAAATGAAAGTCAAGTGCAAACCCGTGCGAAAGAAACCAAGCCTTATTTACCCTACCCCTTCATCGTGCAAACACATGTAAAGCGATCAGCAAAGCTGTGGCAGAAAAGTAGCTGCAATTGAGACGGAGTGGTTTCACGTGCCATACTGTCAAGCAATGGGGCTAGACCCAGCCCCCGTTTGCTTTCTGAAATCCGAAGTAGCATTTCTCACTTCGGTTGTGGCTGGGAGTTCAAGTGGAGCATGAAGCGCAGCTGCCCCTGAGGTTTTTGGGTTGGACTCGACCCAAGTTTGTGTCCGTTTTTTGCGCATGTGTTTTGCTTCCGGGGGTAGAAGTGTTGTCTCGAAGAGTCCTTCCCAGGCCATCGAAGCTTCGCCAATCACCGCAGTTCAGCTCGAGGGCATCGACACCTCTCAAGCTGTGGAAGTGGTAAAGGCCGGCCAAGTGAGCCATGATTGGAGCGGATTGCGATGTTTTGAACCCTCTACAAGTGTACCAGGATGGTAGTTGGTGTTTGTACGGCAGACCCGAAACACGCCATGCTCGCCAAACAAACACGATGTCTTTGTTGTGTGTAACGGAGGCCACGTCATACAAGCCATCAGGTGGTGGTTTGTGTAACATGAGTCGCAGTCAGACTTTCGAGCGCGAAACAACTCCACCCTGGCCTTGAAGGGCCCATGGGCTCGGTACTTCTGAAGCGGTTTCGTGAGTTGAGGGCGCCTTGGTGAACAGGGCTTGATGCACGAGAAGATGCGCCTGATCTCCGTGGACGCGTGCGGCCTCCGGGGTGCGGAAGTTGCAAACCTTGTCCAGGACCTTTGCTTCATCGGCCTGCCACGTAGAACTGTGCAGCCACGGGTCATAACCTATGCCTCCATTTTGGCGCAGGTGAACACCCATGTACCACCTATTTTGATGTTCACCAGGGGTACAGGCTTCTGACCCACAGCCGTGTCATGAATGAGGGGCGCTGAGAGAAGTGGCAGGAGTTGATGGGATTGGAGGGCAGACAGCTCCCGCAGCTGAACCTCAACGGATTCGACATGGAGGAGTTGGACCTTGTCGAGGCCACTTCCTGGCCAGTGGCCTCGCTTCAAGCAAATGGTTGCGTGCTGATGCGACTTGTGTTTGCGCGGGTTTGGGATTGATGTTTGCTGAGTTCGTAGGATCTGTGCAGGATCATCATGAGCATTGTACGTGGACACCCCCGGTTTTGCGCCACGACAAATCAACGATTTAGTCAATAGCCACACATTGACATTTTCTGGAATTTGAAGTGTCCTGCGTCATGCTTTCTGGGTTACAAGAGCGAGTGCTTTCCTTATTGGTTCCATAGTCAGGCCGTGCGCTCCGTGAAAGATCTCACCGGCGCATCCGAACTGGATCACAAGAGCGCCCTGATCCAGGCGAAGAGGGCGGATTTGACCTTGCAGAAGTTTTGACCAGAAAGTGCCAACCGGCCTAAAAGGGATTCCCTTGTATCACAGAAGTGGCTGGATGCTTCTCAGCTGTCAATTTGACATGAATTCTCCAAACTGTGATGTGGCCATGGGGAAATGATGGATGGGTGGGGTCATCCCGAACAAGGCGACTGCTTCCCAAAACTTGGACGCTGGCCAGGTTTGTGATACATGGCTTGGGCTGCCGGCGGAGCTCCAGGAAAAGATCGGGGCCACAGCGACAAAAGCCATCCTCCAGGCTCGAGCTGCCCAAGCCTCGCAGCGTGCCGCAGCGGGCGAGTTTGTGTCAGGCGCACTTCCTGGGCAACTTGAAGCTGGACTTGGAGGAAAAGGTACTAGGCCGGCCCGGGGAAAGCAAACAAAGTGCGCGCGTGGAGAGGTGAGTGTGAGAGTGGGTGGCCCGAAGGCGCTGGGAGCCATCTGGGAGGATTGTGCATAACTTGCCTGCTAAATTCGTCATACGTGCAGGGGTGCTTGTCAGGTTGCTGGCGCAGAGGGTTGTTACCTCCGTGTTTGCTTGATAAAATGGAACGTCTTTGCATTCTGTTGTGGGGGATGGCGCGATCAGATTTATCAGAGGTTGCCTAGAAGATTGCCGGAAGATAGAGTCGTTGGCGGGGACAGTGAAAGAGATTTCCGGAGAAAGCTGCCACCAAGGTTGGTGGAAAGGAGAGGTATATGTACGCATATGGTACATATCTACATGCATTGTAGATATATACGCATAATTTCCAACGCCAAAAAAAAAAAAACACGTCCAATTTGATTGATGAGAAGAAATAACTAGCTGGTTTGTCCTTACTGGATTGTCTTTGAATTCGAATAAGCATCCTACATGGCAATTAGTTCATTCCTATTTAACATCGAATTCAATCTAAACAATTAAATTACATTCTAATTGAAGCAATATTTGCAAAGGAGTTCCTATATAAAAGCTGATTCAAAGGAAGACTGTGACATCCCAATTAAAGTACTGCTTGACACATAGTTCCTATTTTAGATCAAGCTTAAGTAAGAAATCTAGTTGAATTCCAACCAAAGTCCTAGAACTGAAATGGCATGTTCCTTGGATTTCTGCTGGTTTTCGCTCCAAAGGCGCATAGACAAAAACCGCTTGTTTTTCCTCGCTAGAGTCTCTCTAAATCTGCCGGGTCCTCTCCCTTACGTGGCAGAGACAGGGGCGAGGACGGATGCCACTGGAGGGCCTTCTTCCCCAAACCCAGCAAACCAGAAAAAACAACCGGCAAAATCAGAAATAAGCAGAAGCACAGCACACAACTAAACAAAACCGGGGCCCTCCAAACGCCCTAAACCAGAACAACCAGACCAGGAAAATAAACAAAGTCACAAACACAGGGTCTCCCAGAAAAAAGGGTACAAAACAGAAGAACGCAGAAAACCGAGCGCCAGGGTGTACGAGACAGATGCTGGGGGCGGGGGAGGGTGCCATATATATATATATATATATATATATTGTGTATACGAACATATTCGGTTGTTTTCCGACGACATCTTGGCTGTGAAGGAAATGTCTACCCCTGCCTCTGGGTTTGGTCACCTTCTCCATGTTTGTTTCACCTTCCTCCTAGGTCTTCACCTTCCTTCTCCAACTTGCTTTGACGTTCCTTCCCGGACTGCGCCGTGTTGAGCGGCTGTGATCTCCACGGCCCGTCAGGCTGGAGTGGCGCTATGTAAATTGCCTCGTGGAAATCCCAGCTTAATCCCGCGGTGTGGCATTCTCTTTGATGCAGCGTACGGGGGGCCCCAACTGCTTAAGTCTCGGCGCCTTTGCTTTTGGCCCCTTCAACCGCGCCGCATGGGCAGCCAAGCGCTAGAGACTTCCGCCTCTGCGGGGCTCGGCAAGCGCACCTCCTCCAAACCTCAACTTGGTGCTCCGGCTGAAGAGCTTGTGGCTCGACCCTTTTCCGCCCCACCTCCCCTTGCACCTCCGCGACCACCTGCCTGGCTCCTTAGCGCCCAATTTTGGAGGCGGCGCACACAGGGAAACGCACACGTCACACCAATCCTGCAAGCTTTGATTACAGACGAAGAGGCATTATGTACATGGCTGCTGATTTCAATACTAACAGAGTCCAAGGCTGGCAAACATTTTTGCAAAGAAAAGGCTTTGTCATCGTGTTTCGATAATCGCGCCTTTTTTCCCCATTCAAAGGAGCCGCTGAACGAGCCTCCGCCTCATCAACTCCTGCCGCAGGCGACGCCGGCGCCCAGGGCCTGACGGAGGGCCTCCGGGGCCTGTCACAGCTGCAGCAGCTGACGCTGCATCTGCCGAACAACAACATTGGCCCGGAAGCCCAGCGCCGAGGCGTTCGGGCGAGGCGTCGGCATTGCGGTGCAGCAGGCTTGCAAGCTTTTGTTGCAGCGGCTTGGCCATGTCCTGCTGCACTTGTCCAGGCCATGTTTCTATAATCGCCCCAGTTCTGCAAAAGACTCCTTCAATATGGGGAAAATGAAGAATCGATCCCTGGGCACATGTGAGAGCTTTGGAGCCTACCAACTTTAAACAGTTGCCATGTTCAAAATCTGGTGACACTGGCAAAATCGATCCATTGAAATTTTCGAGAGATCCTAAGGAAGCAATTGCGCCTCTTTTTCCTGTTCAACCGCGCCACGCAAAAGCTGCATGACAAGCGCGTCCCAGTCAACCCGCCCGCCCCGCACCAAGGCGATGCCGGCGCCCACGGCCTGGCGGAGGGGCTCCAGGGCCTGACGCAGCTGCAGCAGCTGACGCTGACTCTGAATTGGAATCAGATCGGCCCGAAGCCCAGGGCGGAGGTTGGGGGAGGTGGCAGGTTGAGTGAGGCGCAGCTACAGCTCTGGGCTGAATGAATTACAGGTCAGGGGTTTATCGGGAAGAAGAGGTCATGAAGGACACTGGCGAGATGCGAATGGCTCCAACATGATCTCCGGGAAGGATCAGCCGCATGTGAGAAAGGTGGCTACACCTCCTTGGAGAGAAGGGATCGGAGGTCCGACGAGAGCGCAGCTCCAACACGATCCACTACCGGAAGAACCGCGCAAGCGCTTCGCGTGACCCAGGGCAAGCGCCAGCGCTTCTTCCCGCATCCCCAAACTGCCAGAGCCACCCAGGGATCGCTTTTCCAAGCAACAACTTGGCCCTTGGTTGTTTTAGAGTCCTCCTTGACATTCACCTTGGCCGCAAAGGTGCCGTTTCGCGTGGTCATGTGGATGCCTGCAAGCTTTGATTTCACACAAAGATGATGATCTCGAGGGAGAAAATACCTGGTACATGAGCCATGTATCTAAAACATCCGTTTTGGTCTTTATCAAAAGGCTTGTGTGCACGTTGGCTTACTGTCCGAGCGATGTTTCTATTATCGCGGCTCTCTCCTTCCAATGTCGGGCCCCCTCCAAACCAAGGCGATGCCGGTGTCCAGGGCCTGACGGAGGGCCTCCGGGGCCTGTCACAGCTGCAGCAGCTGACGCTGAACCTGTGGAACAACAACATCGGCCCGGAAGCCCAACGGGTCGGAGGCGTTGGGCAAGGCGCAGCTAAGGCTCCGCTGGGCTCGGGGGTGGGCGTAAACAGAGTTGCTTCGGGGAACATTTTCGCTGGAGGTTAATGGTTTAACGGGGGCGCGGCAAGCTTGCCGGCGCAGATCATCGGCACCACCAATAGATGTGTTTCGTTCCGACGTTTTTTGCACCCGGCTTCTCAACACGAGGAGCGGAATGGGGGGGGAGGTGAAAATCCTGACGTCCACAATGAGCAGACAATTCAGATTCAGATTCTGCTTGCCGAGCCTTGAGGCTGCCAGAAGGCGGCCTTCCGAATCATGTGTGCAGGCTTCGCAGGCGAAATTGAAAACAACAGACCTTTTTCCAGGAACGTTTGCAAGCGTTGATTTCAGAAGAAGAGTGCTGATTTCAGCCCGAACAGGGATGAAACAGGCTTGCAAGCGATGCTGCTGCACTTGTCCGAGCCATGTTTCTGACTTTGCGCCTCTTTTTTTCTCATGAAACTTTGCCATTCAACAGCTGCAGCACGAGAGCATCTCATCAGATCATCAGCTCAACTCGTCCACCCCCAACTCGCCTGAGGCGACGCCAGCGCTCGGGGTCTGGCGGAGGGCCTTCGGGGCCTGGCGCAGTTGCAGCAGCTGACGCTGGGTCTGAGTCACACCGGTCTCGGCCCGGAAGCTCAGAGAGACTGAGGCGTCTGGGCGAGGCGCAGCATTGGAGTGGGGGCTGTGCAGCGGGAAAACCGACAGGATCCAACGGGCGCATATGCGTTTATTGCAAAGGAAAGGCTTGTGTGCACGTTGGCTTACTGTCCGAGCGATGTTTCTATTATCGCGGCTCTCTCCTTCCAATGTCGGGCCCCCTCCAAACCAAGGCGATGCCGGTGTCCAGGGCTTGACGGAGGGCCTCCGGGGCCTGTCACAGCTGCAGCAGCTGACGCTGAACCTGTGGAACAACAACATCGGCCCGGAAGCCCAACGGGTCGGAGGCGTTGGGCAAGGCGCAGCTAAGGCTCCGCTGGGCTCGGGGGTGGGCGTAAACAGAGTTGCTTCGGGGAACATTTTCGCTGGAGGTTAATGGTTTAACGGGGGCGCGGCAAGCCACCAATAGATGTGTTTCGTTCCGACGTTTTTTGCACCCGACTTCTCAACACGAGGCGGGGAATGGGGGGGAGGTGAAAATCCTGACGTCCGCAATGAGCAGACAATTCAGATTCTGCTCGCCGAGCCTTGAGGCTGCTAGAAGGCGGCCTTCCGAATCATGTGTGCAGGCTTCGCAGGCGAAATTGAAAACAACAGACTGTTTCCCAGCAAACCCCCAGGGGGCCGTCGTTGCTGGAGTCTGCAAGCGTTGATTTCAGAAGAAGAGTGCTGATTTCAGCCCGAACAGGGATGAAACAGGCTTGCAAGCGATGCTGCTGCACTTGTCCGAGCCATGTTTCTGACTTTGCGCCTCTTTTTTTATCATGAAATTTTGCCATTCAACAGCTGCAGCACGAGAGCATCTCATCAAATCATCAGCTCAACTCGTCCACCCCCAACTCGCCTGAGGCGACGCCAGCGCTCGGGGTCTGGCGGAGGGCCTTCGGGGCCTGGCGCAGTTGCAGCAGCTGACGCTGGGTCTGAGTCACACCGGTCTCGGCCCGGAAGCCCAGACACTATGGCTTGCTGACACTATCCGTTGGCTTGCTGACACTATGGGTCTGAGTTACACCGTTGGCTTGCTGACACTATGCTTTCACCATGTTGTGCTGCACTATCCGAGCAATGTTTCTACAATTGCGCCTCTTTTTGTCATTGAAACGTGCCATTCAACAGCAGCACGAGCGCATCCCGTCGACTCGACCCAGCCTAAGAGACGCCCGCCGCACTGAGGCGCTGCCGGCGCCCAGGGCCTGGCAAAGGGCCTCTGCTTCCTGGTGCAGCTGCAGCAGCTGACGCTGAATCTGTTTGACAACAAGATCGGCCCGGAAACCTAGAAACGGAGGCGTGGGCGAAGCGCTGCTGAAAGAAGGTGCTGGGTGGGGGTGTAGTGACCCTGGCGTTGTGTTTCTGGCTGCTGGCTTCAATACCAACAAAATCCAGCAGGTTTGCAAGCATTTACAACAAAAAACGCCCCTGTGTGCAGGGTTGTTTCTGTGTCCTGCTGTTATTCGAGCAAGGTTTCTAGAATCGCGGCTCTTTTTTCCCACGCAATGTTGCCGACCAAGCCAGCAGCCTCCGACCCACCCCGCCCAAGGCGACGCCGGCGTCCAGGGCCTGACGGAGGGCCTCCGGGGCCTGTCACAGCTGCAGCAGCTGACGCTGAACCTGTGGAACAACAACATCGGCCCGGAAGCCCAGCAGGTCGGAGGCGTTGGGCAAGGCGCAGCGAAGGCTCGGCTGGGCTCGGGGGTGGGCGTAAACAGAGTTGCTTCGGGGAACATTTCTGCAAGAGCAAAGGGCCGGTGATAGATCAAGGATGGAACATTCTCGTGGTATTTACGAAGAATCATGAGTTTGCAATATCTTGAAATGCTTTTCGGCTGCGCAGGCTCGGGCAAGTTGTTGGCCGTGTGCTCTTGCTGTGGCGCGTGCGAAAATGGTTGATCGGTGGTGAGATCGCTCTAGCTGTGACGCGGTGCGATTTTGAACATCGAACACGAACCGGCTGCGAACTTTGGTGGCTGTCGCGCGGTGCGAGTTGTGAAGTCGCATCGCTCTGGCTGTGGCACGGTGCGAATTTGGAACGGTCGAAAGTGCTCGCTCTCCCTGTGGCGCCGTGCGAAGCTTGAACATCGCAAGTGAACTCTCTGCGGTGGCATCCTGGAGCACGCTTTTGCTTTTAGTGGCTTACATGGAAAAGAGAACCAAGACTGCGCCAGGGTAGCTCTGTTCTAAAACCAATGGCCCCCAAACAACCAATGCACATGCTTTTCCGCAAGAGAATGTGTAAAATTGGAGCGGCGTTAGTGTTCGGGAGAAGAGATTTGCCTGCATTCAAATGTACGCTGCAGCACGAGACTCGACCAGGTCATCAGCTCAAGCCCGCCCCCACACACTGAGGTGATGCCGGCGCCCACATCCTGGCAGAGGGCCTTCGGGGCCTGGTGCAGCTACGGCAGCTGACGCTGCATCTGCCGTTCAACGAGATTGGCCCGGAAACCCATCAAAGCCCCGCGTTGCTGGGCTTGGGGTGGGGGCTTTGCAGCAGACCTCGAAAACAAGGAAACTTGATTTCTATTTGCATCGGATCTGCGAGCTTTGATTTCAGCAGACGAGGCATTGATTTGGTGAAGCAGACAGAGAATAGACGTACAGTGAAGGGAATGAGTGGGGCGAGTCCATAAGAAAGACAAAGACTCGCCATCCCATCCTTCGTTCGTACGTCAGGGAAGGAAGGTATCATATATCCCGTCCACACGAAGAGACTCCTAACACAAAGGGACGGGAGATATGATTGGCCGTTCACTCGGTCATTCTTCTCTCATTCACTCACCCCGGCTTCTTGGAGATAATAATAAAGCCGGGGAAAGAGATATAAAGAGATGATACGAAAGGAAGACAGACAAGAAGATAAGCAGAGAGAGAACTGGGATGAGGAAATAGACAGCTCTCAACCTTCTGGTTCTCCAGTGATCTTTATTGTCTATTCACTCTTCCTTGTCACTTTCTTTTTCTCTTGTTTTCATATTCTTCACCTTGGGATTTCCCGAACGAAGAGAGGAACAGGAGACGGGAAATGGTGAAGAAGAAAGAAAGGAATGAAAGTAAAAGGATCCTAACTCATAAAGAAGTATGACTTCTCTTTCTTATCTTCTTACCTATTCCTCACTGTTTCCAAGGATATAAACTCATGAAGTGAAAAGGTATATTGGAGAAGTCATATGAATGAACAAAGAGAATGGGAAGAAGATAATAACCGAGGGAAGTGAGGGGAAAGGTAACTTCTAAAGTGAAGAGAGATCTTATGTAACTTCTAAACTTGGAGGTTATAATGTTGGGAGATGCATCTCCTTCCTCCAAATTCCCTTTCCCATTCACTCCGTTCTTCCTCTCTTCGTTCGGTCTTTGCTGTGTAGTCTATATCCTCAGAAATTGAATGATATTACACACTGTCCTTGCAACTCCATTCCTCTCTTCGCTCGGGGAATGAAGTGACGAGTAAAGGGAAAGTGATAGAGTGAGGATAGGTGACAGGAAGGACAGGATACATTTCAATACCAACAGGGATCAAACAGTCTCACAGAAATGGCTTCGTGCACTTGTTGACTTGTTGACATTCTGTCCTCACCCTGTCCTGCTGCACGTACATTCTGTTTGTATAATTGCGCCCCTTTTTCCCGCTCAAATGTACCACGCAGAAGCTGCAGCAAGAGCGCATCTTAGGAGGTCATCAGCTCAAGTTGTCCGCCCCCGACCCGCCCCTGGCCTCTAAAAACTCATGCCTTCCGCACAGAGGCGTTGCCAGCGCCCAGACCCTGGCGGAGGGCCTCCAGGGCCTGACACAGCTGCAGCAGCTGACGCTGGATCTGCGCAACAACGGCCTTGGCCGGGACGCTCAGGGGGGGGGAGGTAAAAGCTCCACGGTGCAGACCTCAACAAAGAAGAAACGCGAATTGTATTTTCGTCGGGCTGGGAGCTCTGATTTCAGAAGGAGAGGCATTCCGTATATGCTGATTCCAACACAAACAGGATGAAACAGAATTATGTTGTCGCCATGCCCTGCTGTACTTATCCATGTTTGTGTTTTTGCGCCTTTTGCCCATTCAAATGTGCGGCCCACCGAGGCGATGCCGGCGTCCAGGGCTTGACGGAGGGCCTCCGGGGCCTGGCGCAGTTGCATCAGCTGACGCTGAATTTGCGGAACAACCGCCTCGGCCAGGAAGCCCAGGGGGCGGAGGTGTCTTGATTTGGGACGAGTCAGTACTCCTTACGGTAGTTTTTGTTTGAACAACCAGAGGAAGCCGGCCATTTTGGGGGGTCATTTTTGCAGACACACCCTTGTGCTGATGCAATTCCAGGGATTCAACAGGCTTGCAAGCATGAGACTCAAAGAAAACGCTGAAATTATGTCCTCACAATGTTCTTCTGCCTTACCCCGACGATGTCTGTATAGACAGTTGTGCTTCTTTTTCTCGTTCAGTCGTCCCGCGCAAATGCGGCACCACGAGCACATCCAAATGTACGCTGCATCCACAAGGTCATCAGCTCAAGCCCGCCCACCACACCGAGGCGATGCCGGCGCCCAGACCCTGGCAGAGGGCCTTCGGGGCCTGGCGCAGCTGCAGCTGGTGCTGAATCTGCGAAACAACCGCCTCGGCCAGGAAGCCTAGGGGGCGAAGGGGTGGGAGCTTTGCAGCAGACCTGGAAAACAAGGAACCTTGATGTATCTTTGCATCGGATCTTTGAGGGGCTTTCAGGGGATTTCCGGCCCTGGACAGCCGGTTTCCGTAAACAAGGTTGATTTTGCACGGAAGACTGCTGCAAGTTTCAATTGAGCTCCAAAACAGGACAGCCACATGAGGTTGAGTTGTCCGATGGCTGGTCTCCATCACACGTGCCGCTTGACAGCTGCTGTTCATGTTCTGCCCCAGAAAAGAATCAGTTCCACCCACCTTGAAACAGCAATCGACCTGCCAAAGCGAACGAGTACGTGTCGGGTCACATATGTCATGTTGTGAGAAGATGACATGTTGAAGCGGGGGCTTGCTGTGAAGCAGGCATTTTTAGAGCGGCAAGCTGGGGCCCGGAGGGCACTCAGAAATCATTCAGGGTTGCAATAGACGAGCTGAAAGACAGGCTGCTGAGTGTTACACTGTGCCACATACTTCCTGATCTTTTGTTTGTACCCTTGTCAAGCGCAGGTGAGCCTGACGGCCAAGCAAATTGTGCTAACGATTCATGTTGCCAAGCCACAGCATGAGTGTGTGTTTCTAACATGTTTTTAACAGCCTTTTCCACATCACAGGGGGCAGCCAGGAGCTCAGAAGCGACACCGCAGATTTGTTTGAACAGGCGAGAAGGCGCCATTCTGAATCATTCCGCAAGCCAAGCGGGGCTGTTTGGCACATGAGCAGCCTACTACGAATGTTGGGCCATGTGATAGCAATGTGCTAGTATTTGAGATAGATCGGCTTCTGGCTGTCATGGCCATCTCGTTCTGTTCTTGACATGTGAAAGTCTGGAATGCTGCTTGCTGGGTCTTGTTGTATGACAGTTTATCTTCGGCCGCCAATTTCCCCCCTCCAGGATTTCATGGTGTACTGCTCGGACAACAGCTGGAAGCAACGGTTGTTGCGCAGTCCAGTTTTGAGGGCAAGCCTCCTTTGCTGAAGGTTCTCCTCTATGTATGTTTCTTGCCTTTCTCCGCTGCTTTTGCCTTGCTCTTGTGACATACGCAGGGAGCCTGATTGATTGTTGAGCATGTTTCAGTTGCTCGCGGCTCCAAGCAGGGTATGCGATAGCAATTCAGCTCGCAACAACTTGGACAGACCCCGTCTCCCGCCTTCTTTGGGCCCAGGTGAGCGGGCCAAAGAGGAGGTTCTGGCGCTGCTGAACTCGTTGCCGAAGAAGGAGATCGAAATCTGAGCCGTCGCCTCATCCGCCAAGCACTCACGGGCGCTTCCCAAGTTTGGTTTGTTGGTTGGTGTTTGCCTGGTTCATGGTGACTGCGGTTGCCAATTTGTTGGGCCATTATTGCGGCTACCTGGGCAAAGTCTCTCGCATCAATGGGTGCATTCTGGTGTCAGTTAGCCAGGCCGGAACCTGCGTCTCCAAAAGTGAGCCATGTCGGCAGCACATGCTTTGGGGGCGGGGCTGCCTTCTTTGGCTTCCTGAAGTTTCACCCAGCTTTCTCATGTTTTACCTCCCCCTTGCCTGGCTTTTCCAGCTGCCAACAATATGGATGCAGCAGTTTCAACGTCACCTTCGGGCTGATGACATTTTGATTTGTTCTTGACATGGTGTCGGTGCATTGCCTTGGCAAGATCCAGGTTTTAAACCGCCAAAGGAGGTTTTCTTCTGGGGAGTGTGAGAAAAGGAGGCGCACTGCCAAAGCCATGCAGTGTACATGACTCCCCAGTGGTTGGAATCTCTGTGGGAAAAAAGTCCAAGAAAGGCACAGCGCTTTACACGCGAACCTTGTCACGCATCCGCTAGGGCAACGGCCATGGAAATCCAGTTCCGTGAGGGCAGGTCAAGTGGAGCTTGCTGAACGTGCATGCCTTCCGCAGTTTGCATCGGATCAGACACGAGCGTGAGGTATTCCATGTGTGAAGTTACTCTTTACTGAGGCCACGTGATTTCCAGGCCGAGCCATAATTCCAAGATCTTAAACCGACCTTGACACAAACTGCAAATTGCAGACATGGCGCATTCGTTTGCATCGACTTTGCTGCTGGCAGCGATTGGGCCGCGCTTGGTGGCTGGGTCGCTGCTCCAGGCTCTATCCAATGAGCGCCCAGATCCGGCGGTGTTTCCTTCCCCGGAAACCCCCCACCACTTGCCACCGGCCGGCACGAATGTGACGGGCCCGAAGTCCACCAACAAGTTCTGGGCCAATTGGGTGGTGGAGGAGGGCCGCGACTTGGCGATCCACCCCATGCCTTACGTGCTGAAGTTCGAGTCTTCGCCGCCCAACATGAAGATCTCCAGGTCTTCCGCGCCCCACATCGTGTATGGGGACTCGCAGACCAACGGGCCGGACAAGGTGCGGTACTACTTCTCGCCCTTCATCAACGAGTTTGGTTTGGGAGCTGTGGAGAGTGCGGGGCCCGAGGGTCACGTGGTGGTGAAGGAGGGGCTCTTTGGATTGCATGCGGAGGTGCGCGGGCCGAGTGGCACAGATCGCCGGATCCTCTTCCCCATCTACAGCGGGATGGCCTACGTGTCTGGCCTCTACGAGGGCTTCACTCCGCAGGTGACCTCCGAGCGGGCCTTGCTTTTGCTGGAGCCCGTTGCTGATGGCATTTGGAGGCTCCTGAACAACGGGGGCAAGGAGTTCCGGCTCTACGCCATTGACACTGCGGGCAACTTCGCGGATGCATCCTTTGAGTTTGGCCCAGATGGAAAGATGAACAAGGCGTTCCATGGCTGGATCCGTCTGGCGGAGGTGCAGGCGCCCGAAGATCACGCAATCCTGGACCTGCACGCTCCAGCAGTCCTCATAGACTGGGAGCTGGACGTTCCGGGCGGCGGGGCCGTGAAGTACCACTTTACCAAGCACGCCTCGGTGCCCACACAACTCCTTCATTTTGCCTACCCGCACCACGAGAAGCTGATGACGGGGAACACCCAGCAGGTCGCGCAGCTCACACGCATGAGAGCGCCCACCAAGGGCCGGATGGCAGGCGTCACCGGGGACCAGTGGCACCTGCAAATAAGCACGGCTGAAGAGGACGGCCTCGACTTTCTTCCCAAGACGGAGCCCCGTGGTGATCGAGTGGGCGACCTGACCCAGAAGGCCGTGGACACCTTGGCGTGGTTCCTGGACGGAGACCAATGGAAGCAGGCGATGTTCAAGGGAAGCTACTACTTCAGCGGCAAAGGCTTCCAGAAGGTCGCATACACCTGCCTTCTGTTGGAGAAATTCCATGGGCTTGCCAGCACTCACACGCAGAACTGCGCCGACATCTTGAAGAAAGGCTTCCAGTGCTTGTACGTGCCGGGCACGGCTGGTTGTGCCGGTGCCCCCATGGGCCTCTACTACGACCACTGGTGGGGCGGCGCTGCCAGCCGCGAGGGGTTTTCTGATAAGGGCTGCCGGACGGCAGACTTTGGCAACGCCTGCTACAACGACCACCACTATCACTTCAGCTACTTCGTGGTGTCGGCGGCGGCTCTGGTGAAGCTTCAGCCGGAGATGGCGGCAGACGCAGGCTTCGTGTCCTTTGTGGACACCTTGATCCGAGACACCACCAACCCCAGTTCCCAGGATGGCTACTTTCCGGTGTTTCGCTCCTTTGATTGGTTCGACCTGCACTCCTGGAGTCGTGGCGTGATTCCCAGTGCCGACGGGAAGGACCAGGAGTCGACCTCGGAGGAGCTGAACCTGCTTTATGGTATCCGACTTTGGGGCGTAGCCTTGCAGAGGACTGCCCTGCGAGATCTTGGCACCACCATGCTCGCCTTGTGTGCAGCAACGATCCGGGAGTTCTTCCTGATGAAGTCCGACAACGAGCACCACCCCGCAGACTTTGCGGCAAACCACGCGACAGGCATCTTCTTCCAGAACAAGGTGGACTATGCCACATGGTTTGGCTGGAGGTACGAGTTCATCCATGGCATCCAGATGTTGCCCGTTACCCCAGCCCTGCTGCTGACACGAACGCAGGAGTTTTGCAGGCAGGAGTGGGACAACGTCCTGTCGCGACTGCCGCTGAGCCCAACGGATCCTTGGACGTCGCTGCTGCTCACCGGCACGCTGGCCATCATCGATCCGGAGGGCGCCTACGAGAAGCTTAGCGCCATGTCACCTCACTTCATGGACGACGGCCTGACCTGGGTGTGGTCTCTCTATTGGTCTGCTAGCTTGTCTGGAGCCGACGCAGTGGGAAGCACCACCGGTGCCTCCACCACGCCGTCGGCGCCTTCTGGCGTGAACGTGGCCCTGGATCGCCTGGCCCTCGCCTCCTCCGAGGCCGCGCCCGAGCTCGGCGCCGCTCGCGCGGTGGATGGCCTCTTCGTCACCTACTGGAGCCCGGCAGCCAGCGACGAGGACCCGTGGATCTCGGTGGACCTGGGCACCGTGCAGCGCCTGTCGCACATCGTCTTGTACTGGGGCGAGTTCTACCCGCTCAGCTACTGGGTCCAGGCCAAGGACGATGTGTCGGACTGGTCCACGAAGGCCGTGAACCTTGGTGCAGCGGGCAATCTGCAATCGAACATGCCAGTGAACACCTTTGCGCGGTTTGTTCGGGTGGTGTGCCAAAGCAGTGCAGGCTCGGACCTTCGCCTGTGGGAGATCAAGGTCTATGCAGATGAAGTTGCCACAACCTCGGTGACCACATCTACGTCCACAGCATCCACGGTTGCCGCGACCACGGCAGCCGCGACCACGGCACTGCCAACAACCACCACTGCCGAGGTAATGACAACCACGGCTGGGGCAGGCACCACCACTGAGGCAATGACAACCACGGCCGAGGCAGTGACAACTACGGCCGAGGCCAGCACCACATCCGCGGCCCAGACGAGCACACTGTACCTTGGGCCCAACTTGGCCTTGACGAAGCCTGTGCTGGCGTCATCCTTCCGGTCTCCCACCGAGTTCGCGTTCAGAGCCGTGGACGGAGATTCAGGCACTCAGTGGGCATCTGCTGGGAGCGACCAGTGGCTCTGGGTTGATCTGCTGGGTCTGCATGAGGTGCATCGCGTGGTCGTCGCCTGGGGCTCGGAGTATGCGGAGTTGGTGATCCAGACGGCGCCGGATGGCATCGTTTGGACGGATGCAGCCACAGCTGCCCGGCAGCCTGGCTTGGTGGCAACCGAGTTCCAGCCCCCGATCCAAACCCAATGGGTGCGAGTGCTTTGCCGCACGAGCTGCAGCATTCGAGAGCTGAGCATCCATGGAGGTGCGCCAAGCACCACCACGCCCACTGCGCCCACAGTCCCAACAACCTCCGGCCAGACCCCGGTTTCCAGTGGGGTGAATCTCGCCCTGGCGCATCCCGTGCTTTCGTCTTCCCAGAGGTCGGCCGAGGAGCACGTGTCCAAGCTGGTGGATGGCTCCGAGAGCAGTGAGTGGGCCTCCGCCGTGGGAGAAGCCGCGCCCTGGGTTTGGGTGGACCTGCTGGGCGTGTTTTCCATCGCGGAGGTGGCGGTCCACTTCGGCGACGGCGCCGCGCAGTACACGGTGGAGACCAGCGCCACCGGGGAGAAGTGGACGGCCGTGGCCATGGATCAGGGTCGGGCGAACGAGGTGGTGACCACCCCCTTGCGCGGCGAGGCCAAGTTTGTGCGCCTGGTCTTCAAGTCCCTGGACACCTCCAGTGTCAGCGTGCGGGAGCTCAAGGCATGGGCAAACTGTTTTTTTTTTTTTTTTTTTTTTTTTTTTTAATGCCGCCAGGTAGTTTTGTTGGAGGAGGGAACCTAAACGATGCTTTACAAAGCATGGAGGCTCAATGTGCTTGAACCGCCCAACCACAGGTGTTTGAAGCCAGCAGTGGCGGCACCAGTTCCATGGCACCCAGCACGAGTTCTGTGGCCAAGGGCAAGCCCGTGCTCGCTTCGTCCCAGCTCATCAGCGACTTTGCAGCACGAGCTGTGGACGATGCCATGGGCACTTCCTGGGCATCGGTGCCGGTGGGGGAGCAGTGGATCTGGGTGGACCTCCTCACCAGCCACGACCTCAGCCACGTGGTGATCTTCTGGGGCGACAACATCCCCAGCAGCTACAACTTGGAGATCAGCTCTACTGGCGTCACCTGGGAGGCGGGGTCAGCTTTTCCCGAATCATTTGGAGCACTTGAGCCACAACCAATCCTTTACATGGTTGGGTTCACCATTTGTGTACCGGGTGATTGCGACTTACTTCCCTTTTGAAACTTTGACGCCGCTTTCAAGAGTGCTTCGGAGTCATGCGAGGTGGCGGTGCATGACGTCCAGCCGGAACTGGCCGGCGAGGTGCAGACGGACTTGGCCGGCGTGAAGTCCCAGTGGCTGCGCGTCTACTGCAAGGGCGACCACGGCTGCAGCCTCCGGGAGCTGCAGGTCCGGAACTTCCGATCTGAAAGTACCCGTTTAAACCGCCGATTTTTTTGGGGGAACCAAAGGATAAGTACAGGGCTTTAAGCCTATGAACGCTCTTGTTTTGGAGAAAGGGAGAAGCGCAGGGCTGTAAGCCGCGCGCTGCAGGTCTTTGGGGCGCCATCCGGGGCGCCCAGGTTTCTTCGAGAGGTCAGCGATGTTGCCGCGCCGCTGAAGTGGCCTTTGTGTTTGCTTTTTGCAGTTGTCTCAGTCGGCATTGCGCTGAGCCTGCCCGCAAAACCTGATGGGGGTCGGCAAATTGACCCCAAGGATCAGGTGTGCTTAGCATGATGTATGCGTCATCTGATGCTTACATACATGTCTACATTTTTGGTGCACTTTTGCACACGTTTAACCCTTTGCGGGTTCACGCCTGTAAACCCAAAGTGCCTCATGCGTGCGGACAAGTTGCACGCTCGTTTTCCGGCGCGTGTTTCGGGCGATTGATTTATGTTTTGCCTTATAGCTTCACTCGGCATAAGCTGGTGGCTGTCAGGCGAGTGCTGTCTGGACACCAGAATTCCAGGCTGCACCTTGGGCTATGGAAATCGCTGCACCTCTCACACGAAGTGTGACTCAGCGAGCAATTCCTCGATTCCGCACGTGCCACCGAGAGCACGCTGAAACTCTAAGTATCGAGTCCGTTTTGGCGCGACCATAAAGTGCAGTCAAATGGGAACCCGCGAAGAAGCCCCATGGTTGATGACGTTTTTTTGTTTTTTTAAGATTTGAGGTCTCCTGGGGACATACTCCCCGAAAATTATCCACCAAGTTGATGATTCCGAAACTCCGCGACTGACACGAGCCGTTTTTTTTCGTGCATGGACGTGTGCAGTTTGTTCCTATCATCCTGCATTCATGCATTCATGCATTCATTCATGCGTCCATCCATCCATCCATCCATCCATCCACCCACCCACCCATCCATCCATCCATGCCATCCATGCCATCCATCCATCCATCCATCCATCCCTCCTTCCATCCATCCATCCATCCCTCCTTCCATCCATCCATCCATCCATCCATCGATCCATCCCTGCACCCCTTTTTCATCTTGTTGTCTTTCTTTCCTTCTTTCCTTCTTTCCTTCTTTCCTTCTTTCCTTCTTTCCTTCTTTCCTTCTTTCCTTCTTTCCTTCTTTCCTTCTTTCCTTCTTTCCTTCTTTCCTTCTTTCCTTCTTTCCTTCTTTCCTTCTTTCCTTCTTTCCTTCTTTCCTTCTTTCCTTCTTTCCTTCTTTCCTTCTTTCCTTCTTTCCTTCTTTCCTTCTTTCCTTCTTTCCTTCTTTCCTTCTTTCCTTCTTTCCTTCTTTCCTTCTTTCTTCCTTTGGGTTCAGTCCTATTTTTTCAACGGTAAACAAAGGCCCAAGACTGGTCCAATCGGCTCCTGGACACCATTGCTTTCTTGCCAACGCTGGCGTCGCTCGGTCAAATTTGGCTGGCCCCGTTGCTCGGGTCAAAACACCCTTTTACTTCGGGTTGGGAAGAATGGACCCCTTTGGGGAAAGCCATGGCCGTAAGGAATCTTGACCATGCTGGACCCACATTGGACCACCTGTGACACCGGCTTTGCAACTTGCGACTTCTTGGATGTGCTGACTAGGTCCGACACGAGCGCCACACAACATGATCGTGCAATTCAGGTGTTTGGGCAAACTGTTCAACGACCACCTGCCCCAGCCCCCATGAACTTGACCAAAGGTTGCTTTATGAACCATTGGCGGCTTGCAATGGCTTGCATGACATTGGCAAGACGGCATTGGGCGCCAGGCGTGCCTGAATCTCAATGAGGATAGCCCTCATTCTGGGGCTGGCTTTGACTGGCCTGCACATGTTGGCTCTTTTGAGGACTGCAACCACTGCAACCAGGTCAACCAAGTCCACCAGATCCACCAGGTCCAGTTCAACCATCAAGGCTGAGGCTCCCATGAAGCCGAGCAGCGCTTTAGCGACCTCCCCCAGCACCTTGCCGACCTGCGTGCGACGCATGGCCGCTGCGTTCAGAGGACAAGCCGCTCGATATGGACTGAGAAGCCAGGAGGCAGCCAGCTATTCTCACGTGCAGTCATTGAATGCTTTTCGAGATCTGGGCTTTGAAGTGCACGCTTTTTTGGCCACAACTACCGACTCTTCTTCGACGCTGAGGGTCTTGAAAAGCATATACCAGCCACTTGAAATTGGAATTGTTGATGTTGCAAAATGCCGAGGCAAGCCAAGCTATTGCTACCAAGTTGCTGCCATGAAGAAAGCAATTGACTTGATCCTGGCAACAAGCATTAATTATTCACACGTGCTTTTGTGTCGACTCGACTTGCGCTTGAAAATGGACCTTCCTTCAACACCAGGCTTGGTGCAAGCAAACTTCACAGCGTGCCCCATGCCAATGCAGACGAAACATACATACTTTGGAGCCTTCAAGGGCGGAAGAGTGCAAGGGACAACATACCAGCTGTTGCCCAAATACGTTTCCGACTTTTTGCTGCTGGCCCCAGCTCATATTCTGCATTGCGTACAAAATTGGTGGACGAAGGATCCGCGCCGCTATAGAACTGCAAATTGGATTCGGGCGTGCGACCCCTATGCCGGAGCGGCCGAGGGAGTTCTGATCCCCGGTTTCTTCGACGAGGGCGTCAAGGGGCATTCGAACCCGCTGTACGACATCCCAGGCCGGCAGCTTCCGGGGAAGTGCGGCCGCGCGGAGGAGTTCCGGTGGTTGGCGTCGCTGAACACCTCGTGCTGCACACGGCGCGGGGACCAGAACTTCTGCCGGGACGGCTGCGACCAGCTGTGCTCGAAATGCGCGCGGAAGTGCAATCCGATGGCCCCGGAGCTGACGTGCTGCGGGAAGGGACCCTCCAAGCTCTTGCCCCTCGGAGAGGCGACCTTGGAGAAGGAGTGGTGGTTGGTAGCGCCCTGGCCGGCCTAGGCCTTTGGGCCTTCGCGTCAGAGGCACGAGCCCGCTGGTGAGTTGGCAAAGTGGCGCTGGTGTGGGAAGTTGAGAGAAAGGGATGCCAAAATGAAGGCAGTCCTTTGCGAACAATGATTCGCATTCGGCAATTCTGATACTTAGGTTGTCTCATACGGTTGGCTTTCGCCCCCTCAAGTTTGGGGCCCGCTGTAAAATTCACCTCGGGTCAAAGCATTCTCAAGCGTGGCAGGCGATTGGGCTTGAACAGGTTTTAAGGTTCAAGCTTTGGTGTGACAGACAAGTCCCTTTCAAGCGAAGATGCGGGACCTCCATCTCTTCACTCTCCACCCTGCTTCTCTCAACCGCAAAAGAAAAATGGTGCTCCGCCCTTCCAAAGAAACCGAAGCACGGCTGGTGCCCTGAAGAAGCGCGGAAAGGGTCGCCGTCGGGTCGCGGTCGGCTCGTGATGGTTGGCCATGGGCTGCGGAGCTCAAGGCGCCAAGAAGCTCGAGGAGGCCAGCGGGCCGAGCGGGCCGGGGGAGTGGGCGTGGTGCTTTTGTGGCTCCCTTGGCCCATGCGGATGGGATGGACGCGAACTCCGTTTCGCGCCAAGTTGAAACCACAGAAACCATGGTTTGTTGGGTATTTACAGGGGAATCGAAGCATTCCAGGGTTTCTTAGGTGGTGCAGGATTTCGTCCCACAGTATGTCCCTTTTGGGATGGGGTTTTTCAGAGAGAACGGAGAACCGGACTCCATTTTTGGGGTACTAGGCACCATCGCCAATGTAAGCCTGCTGTTGGACCCAGAAGTCAAGGCGTTTGCGCGCTTTGGGTATAAGGGAATGTGTCAAAACCAGGAACCCCTTTTGGAGTGATGCCAAGAGGCAACCAAAAGGTAGGGACCCTTTGGTGGTCATCATTGGGGGAAAAGGGTGCTCGCCATGTTCGACCACTAGGAGGTTGCTTTGCACCTCCGAAAGCCAAAAGGGGGGCCGGCCTTCGCCGGTTCGAGGCAGAGATCCTGAGCACTCAGCTCCGGAGCAGCCTGAAGAAGCAGGAGCTGGAGCTGCAGAGGCGGGACGGTTCGATGAAAATAAAATCCAAGGCAATGGCTGATTCAGCCGAAGGTAAACTCTCCAACTGGTGGAAAAAAGCGAAACATGGAAGTGCACGGAATCCTTTTGGAGGGTGATGTGTCTCTTGCGAAAGGGCGACTGCTTCCAGGTTTGTCGGGGGTGCACCCCATGTTGCAGGGGATGCAGATTACTTGATTACTTTTGGAGCTGCACCCCCTTGCACTGGCGAAATCCGAGGTCCCACATCCCAACAAAGACCGGCGGCAGCTTTTGGAGGCTTCGGGTCGCAGTCCTTCGCGCAGGCTTGAGGCCCACGAAGCCGCCAATTCCAAAGAGCGCACGCGGCTGCGCCAGGCCCGGAGCCTCGGAGCCTCGGAACCTCGGAACGAAGCCGCTGGAGCGGTGGTTCCTCTCTCCTTTTCGGAACCTCCTTTTTCCGAAGAGTGGTGGCTCGATCCTTGCAACGGAAACCGGTCCATTGCGTGTGGGGAGATCCAGTGGCCAGGAGCTCGACGAAGCCAGATCGGAAGATGCCTTGGCCAAGGCCCGGAGAGCCGAAAGAGAACCACACGCCGTCTTTTGCCGGTGGAAAGTGGAACCGGGACAACCTCTGCAGTGTTGTTTTTTTGTTTTTTTTACCACCTTCTTGTGGTTTTGATGGGAGACAAAAAGGACCGTTCCGAAGCATGTTGGATTTGGCCGGACGAAAAGACGAGCCCGGAGAGGCCTTGGCGGAGATCCGGAGCTTGCGAGAGAAGGTCGCGTCTTCGGAGGCCGAGTGAGTGCCGGCTTGAGCCAGCGGGTGTGCAGCTGTTTGAAGGCTGCCGGTCTTTTTGGGGAGGGTTGAAGCAATGGAAACGAGGAACCACGATTTTGGAGGTCTTCCAATTTGACGCAAATCTTAACTTTGTACGAAGCCAAATGTGTGCAAGGCGGCTGCGTCCGCAGAAGCCACAAGATCTTCCAGGCTTCGAGTTTCGCGCGGTTTTTGTCTGCACGGAAATGAATGGGTGCTTGAAAAGAGCTGGGCACGACTGGCTCAGGCTGGATGGCCGCTGCTCGGTCCTCGAAGTGGAGCCGGGGCCCCGGATCCGGTCGATCTCAACCGAGCGACCGGATCCGATTTCGAGTCCGAGGTCCCGCGCATTGCGAGATGAGCTTACTGCCGCAAGCTCTGCCCACTTCCAGTCGCAAGAGGCACTCGGCAAAGTGCTCCTTTTCAGTTGCTGCACATGGATGTGTGTGTGTGAGTGCCCTTTTTTTTGCGTGGTTTTAAATGGAAGCCAAAAGAAGAATCACCATTTTGGGGCTCCCCCTAGTTTGACACGCACAAAAACATGCTGAGCAAGTGACGTGTCCGTGGTGTACACAATTTGTGCAGGCCTCGGACAACTTGCATCAGCAGCTGACAGCAAGAAAGCAAGAGCTTACACAGCGGGGTGCCTAACCGCCGGCGCCTTTCTGTTTGTGAGCTCGTTTTGGCGTGCTTCCTGTGAAGGAAAGGTCGTGTTCGCTGGTCAGCATCGGTCCTCCGAAAGAATTTGCAAAGAGTTCGTAAGCGCAGAAAAGCACAGAAAAGAGTTGTGTTGCATTGTAGAAGTGTCGAATTCACAGAGCGATGCCAATTTGAGCAAGTGAGACAAGTGAGTAAGCTTGAGAGGGTGAGAGTGCGAGCGCAAGTTGTTTGCAAGTATCGTGTATTGCTTCTACTGATCGCTGAAAAGCGCTTTAGCGGTGTCGCTGAGTCGATCCACTCAGAGTCTTATTGGCTATTCGCAGACGCCTCCATATCGCCGTTGACGACGCACGGGTTCGCGGCACGCCATGTCGAGACGCACCCATTTGTGCGCAGCGCGCGACTTTTTGCGGGTTCCATGTTCCCAACAGGACGCCATGTTGAGCTCCTCTGCTGGGTGCCTGGAAGTGGCTTGTTTGGGAGGCTCCCTTTGTCTGCCGCGGCAACGCGAGAGCGAGGCTATTGCGCAAAAATACGGAGTTGCACCTCAAAACATCGCGGTTTTCTGGGCCTCACTTTTGAAAAAGCCCTCTCGAGGCTCCACGTGCAGCTGCAAAGTCTGTCCGACGAGGCCAGCGATCTCCAGGCCCTCCGGAAGTGGATTGGGACACGAAGGGTCGCTCCAAGCGAGCGGCGCAAGTCGCTGATTTTGGGACTTTTACCAACCGGTTTATGGGTTGGAGCAAGTGTGATGAAACTCCGAGCAAACCCGCCTGGCAGCTCAAGTTGAGCGTGCGAAGCTCAACGTGTTGCTTAGCCGAAGGTGTTCTTGTTTGCCGTTGCAGGCCCAGCGAGACTATGCTTTGAGCGAGCTCAAAGCGGCCAACCAGGTGGCCGAGGCACTATCTCGCATAGCTCAGCGCATTGCCCAAATATGACAAGGGGAGCTGTGATTTACCGGGTCTTGTGATGGGATGTGCCTGGTTCACTTGCCGTGTTAAGGAGAATTCCCCGCCTTTTTGGCCCTCAGGCGTTGAAAGCGACGTCAACGGCTCTGGATGGCAAGCGGCCTCGAAAGCCTCGGAAGCCTTGCACTCAAAGACTCTTCGGGACTCGGGACGCTGCCGACAGCTTGCCGAAGCCCCTTGCGGCGTTTTGCCCCGCACGTGGATTTTTCGTTTGCAAGATGGAGTCTCAAGCACATGGCTCGCGAAAGCGAGAGAGACGCATACCACTGACTTCTGTTCATGAAAGTCCGCATGGCTGGGACAAGAAAAAGGCAAGCCGCAGACTCAGAGCCACACACGCATGCGATCCTCGGCCATGGAGTCGGTGCAGTTAAGCTGGACACAGGCACGGAACAGCTGGTGGCAGGGTTCCTTAAGCTAGACCCAAGCCCAGGGTGGTTGATTTGCCAAAAGGGGAGCCTCTGGGTTGAAGTTTAGCTTGGGGGTAGCCAAAAATTCGACACTTGGTCGGTTGTGCGACTACAGCTTCGGTCCTGGCCAGAAATTGCGCGTGCCAGAGGCGGTGCTCTAACCAGATCGCAATGGAAGCAGCCTGCCTTGAATTTTGCAGAGAAAGCCCAAAGGTTTTGCAATCGTCGACTTGCTCAGGACGGCCAAGAGGTCACTTCGTTGAAGGCCACCCATCTTCCACCCACTGTGGATGAGGCACGTAATGGACCTTGTTTGGCACCCCCCGCTCTCCTTTTCACGAGTCGCATTTTCCAACCACTGATACCTGACCTTGCGGGCTGATCGGTGTTGAGTGTCTATGAATCGACTGCAGGATGATTTGCGTGCCATTTTCGGGCGAGAGCTTTGCTCAATTCAGCTTCCGCGGAATTGAGCCCTGATTGCAGTTGGTCTGGACGACATCCTCGGCGCAGCTCGAGATTCGTGTCCATGTTTGGAAACATTTTGTGGGGGTTTGGTGGTGATTTGCATCTTCCACGGTTCCCATTTGCTACGAGAGAGGCTTTGTTTTTGATCCGAGGTGGCTATGCCATCCTGGGCTTTCGAAGTGCGGAGAGCGCCGAGAAGGCGTTGAAGCGGAATGGGCAGCGCATTCCTGATCACAAGGCCGGGAGAGGGCGCCTCCTTTTGAGTGGGCTGGAGAGGGAAGCGATTTGAACGCTTTGACTGGGTGTAAGTGGGATTGCATATGAAGGTAAGTTGCATTTGCAGACTAAACCCACTAGATTTGCATCGTCTCGGGGTCATTTCCTGTGGGTGCAACGGATGTTGGAAGACAACAATGCTTAGAAGGGACTTCCCTTGAGTGTGAAAAAGGGATCCCTCCAAACCAAGAAAGCACAAGAGCCCTCCAGAGTCTGGGCCAGGCCGTCTTGCGCCTCGCGCGGTCCAGCGCCACACCAGGCGGGTCTGCTGCCCAAAACTCGTCAGTTTGCCAGCCCCATGCGGCCGCAAAACACGAAACGACCCATTCGGAGTGAGAGAACCAGAGCCCGAACGACCCAATGTGCCAGGCCGCCGGCCGTTGACCGACTATCAAGTTTGTGTCGGCAACCTGGCGCCGAATATGACGGACGCCGATCTCTATGAAGCCTTCAGGTCCCAAACAAACCGTCGGGCGTTCAATGAGGAACTGGCAATGCGAACGCAGGTCCTTGTCAACGGATGTGCTCGGCGCAAGGGCCGCGATCTCGGACCCAAGTTGCGCTTTGCAAGACTTGGGGAGTGGAAGGCCCTTTGTGTAAAGGGCATCCCTTTGATCCTTCGATTCACACGAAGACGCGCAGTGTTGAGCGGCAACCACGCTCAGCC